GTGGAATGGGGAGAATTGTATAGGATACTGTGAGACAGTTCTTCCAGGCTTTTTTTGACTGCGTAAATGCCATGAGCATAATTAAGTAAAAGACAACATGGATATTCGTTTTTCAACTTTTTTGCAACAATAATCCTTTGCAACTAAAAAATGAAAAAATTTTTGATAATGGTATCAATGGGGAGTTAGACTCCACAAGATGCGAAAAGCTTTGTTCCGATCGGACCACCCACCTAGGAAAAACCGCCGAACATGCATAGAAAAAATAATCCTTTGCAACTAAAAAATAAAAAAAATGTTTGTTAGAACGGTAGGGAGACTTTACCAAGCAATGGGAATAATACACCAACGTCAACGTGAACTCATCTTGCTGCATAAGTTGCGTGTCAAAGCGGCAAAGCTTAGTTAGTGTTTTGGTACAGTGCATTGTAATTGCCCTTTCTTGTCTTTCCCGTGCATAGCACGGGGCGTTCCACTAATAATAATAACAATAGTTATTCGCTAATATCACGAAAACTAGACCTTACCGCCAATTATGCATAAGGAAAAACTCGTTTAGAATCATGCTACTAATAACGTATTAGAAGGGCATAAAAATCGTTCGAAGTTGGCTTCAAAAGTTAACAACAATTTCTGTAATATCTCGAAAACAAAAGCTTTCCGTCAATTTCGCAAGAGGAAAAAGTTGTCCAGAACCACGCCCCTTAACAACATATTCAAAGGACATTAAAATCGTTCGAAGTTGATTTCAAAAGTTAATAACAATTTTTTTCGCTAATATCTCGAAAACTAAACATTACCGCGAAATTTGTATATGAATAAAATTGCGCAGAATCATGTCCGCAATAAGATATTGAAAGCGCACTAAAATCGAGAAAAGTTTATTTTAAAAGTTGCCGGTTTTTCTGCAATAACAACACTTTGCAATTAAAAAATGAAAAATTTTTTGATAATGGTACCAATGGGGAGTCAGCACCTACCATATGCAAAAGGTTTCATTCCGATCGGTCCATCCAGCTAGGCGCAATGCGCGAACATACATAGAGAAAAGAAAAAAGTTGCCGGTTTTTTTGCAATAACAACACTTTGCAATTAAAAAATGAAAAATTTTTTGATAATGGTACCAATGGGGAGTCAGCACCTTCCATATGCAAAAGGTTTCATTCCGATCGGTCCACCCAGTTAGGCGTAATCGCCGAACATACATAGAAAAAAAAGAAAAAGAAAAAGAAGAAAAAAAAAATATACTGATCGAATTGAGTAACCTCCTCCTTTTTCGAAGTCGGTTAAAAATAAATAAGAAGATACGACAAAAATGTAATTTTACTTGTAGCGATAGTAATTCATATATAGTATAATATGTAAAAATGTTTTTTTATAAATATTTTTTTGGATATCGTGTCCCTAGTTGCAGCGCCTTTTTTTAAAGCACACATTATGCCTACCCATTTTGTTATCCCCTTTCAATACATGCTCCTCAGCCGTAATCTCACATTTTTTTGTTAAAGTAGAAAAGGTTGAATTTTGAGTTTACAATGCAAGAGAATATAAATATACTACTCAAAAGAATTAAGAGAAAAGAAAAATTCTTGAAATTTTTAGACCATATTCAAATTGCTCTACCTCCGCTAGAAGTCATCGTAGCAAACAACTAGAATATTTGTTTTTATTAATGAAACAAATAAAAAATCGCGATGGAAAAATTTTCGAGAATTTTTTTCTTTTTTAAAAGTTTCTATAGTCGTAGGAAAATTTTTATGATTAATGGCACTTTAGGACTGTTTTCCTTGTTTCTTCCGCTAGAATTTGCACTTTAATGGGGTTCGTTTCGATAATTAGTTACAAAGTTACGAGCTACTGAAGCCAAAATGACACTTTTTTCTTTAATAGTTTTTATCTTATGAATCCACCATCGAACAGAAATTGTAAGAACGGTTCT